CAGGTTACAAGGAGAAATTGAAGAAAAAGCAGAGGGCAGTTACTCTAAGAATGTAAAATAAGCAGATGTAATGAATTTGAAATTTTTTAATTAATTTGCTTAGGGGATCAATGAATGCTTCTTTGAGAAAGGTACAAAGCTCTTATTCAAGACATCTCAATGATAATTAAGAATGAACTCAGAAAAGGGTGGGTTGAGGGAAGGAGACTATACAAGGGGACAAAACAAGTGTGTGAGGCTCAAAGGTAGAGGAAAACATTAAGGGAGGACACCGAATCTGGAAGACAGAGGGGGTGGGGGAGGTTGGTGAGTGAAAGAGCTCGATAATAGACAAGGGACAAGTCATCCAGGGCCTAGCTATGCACAGTATGGATTGGGGTCAGAGGGTAGTGGAAATGCTTTTTTCCTATGACCTAGCAACTGCACTCCTGGTTATTTACCCCAAAGACACAGATGTAGTGAAAAGAAGGCCCATATGCACCCCAATGTTCATAGCAGCAATGTCCGCAATAGCCAAACTGTGGAAAGAGCCGAGATGCCCTTCAACAGATGAATGGATAAAGAAGATGTGGTCCAGATATACAATGGAATATTACTCAGCCATCAGAAAGGATGAATACCCAACTTTTACATCAACATGAATGGGACTGGAGGAGATTATGCTAAGTGAAATAAGTCAAGCAGAGAAAGTCAATTATCATATGGTTTCACTTATTTGTGGAACATAAGGAATAGCATGGAGGACATTAGGAGAAGGAAGGGAAAAATGAAGGGGGGGAAATCGGAGAGAGAGATGAACCATGAGAGACTATGGACTCTGAGAAACAAACAGGGTTTTAGAGGGGAGGGGGAGGGGGAATTGGTTAGCCCCGTGATGGGTATTAAGGAGGGCACGTACTGCATGGAGCACTGGGTGTTATACAAAAACAATGGATCGTGGATCACCACATCAAAAACTAAAGATGTATTGTACTGTGACTAACGTAACATAATAAAATTAAAAAAAAAAAAAGGAAAAAAGAAAAAAAAAAGGAGAGCCAGGGATGTGGCAAAGTATTTCAGATTTTCATTTTATAATTTTCATTCACTCCACTATGGAGAATGGATTAGAGGTGGCAAAATTAATGAGGGAAGACAATGCAAATGGCAGTGGTAGAAGTTGAGTTAAAAGGGGACAGTATCTTAGAATTAGGTACAGACAATGGAGAGATGGAGGGATACTGGACAGATAGAGGAGGGAAATTTTTTTTTTAAGATTTATTTTATTTGAGAGACAGACAGACAGACAGAGTGGGGGAGGGAAAGAAGGAGAGGGAAGGAGAGAAAATCCTCAAGCAGACTCCCCACTGAGTGTGGAGCCCAATACAGGGCTCAATCCCAGGATCCTAAGATCATGACCTGAGCTGAAAACAAGAGTCAGACGCTTAACCAACTGGGCCACCCAGGCTCCCCAAAGAGGGAAATTTTTGAAATAAAAGTGTCAGTACTTGGTGGAATATTGAAAACGATGTGGAAGAGGACGTTGGCTAATATGATTCTGGATTTTTGGCTTGCACAACCTAATGCATGGAGAGCTGTTCTCTGAGATAAAGAAGGAAAGTGAGCAAGAGAGAGGGGGAGATTATGAGCTCAGTTTTGTACATGTTTTATTTATACTGTGTCTGCAATATCCACAAGAGAGGTCAAGCAGAGAGGTGGGTGTCTGAGACCGGGTGGGGGAGGGGGGAGAGGGTTGGAAGTGGGCCGGTCCAGATTTTGAGATGCAAATTTAGAAATACAGTTTATGGACAGCAACTGAAACTGTGGAATCCAATGACTGCATTATGTGAGAACTGAGAAGACTAAAAAAGCAAGCAGCTGAACATGGCATCTCCCTTTCCACTCACCTTACTACAAACTGCAAGAATATAAATATTTCTCTTTGGTTCTTAGTTCACTACATATAGAATTTTGGATAAAAATATCCACACCAAAAATGTATGATAATCTGAAGAGCTAGGAAATTATAAACTTTCCAACAAAAGTTCAGAACTAAGTAGAAAAAACAAATGTCTTAATAACATAGGTCAGGAGCCTATTACTGTACATTAGAATTCTTAACGGTGTAATAAAGTATTAGAATACTGAGATCTGTTTATGTATGCCTAGTAGGTTGGGATAAGATAAAGGCTGGGTTTAGGCAATCAATTAGTTTACCAGTGTCTTCTTGCTACCTTTATGCTTAAACTCCATTAGAGTTTGACCTTTCCAGAATTTCTGAGATTATGGGCAGTTTTCCCCTGAGCATCCTCCAGCAGCTGTTTGAACAATAAGTTAAACCAACCGAGCTACTTATACTTGTCTAAAACAATGTTCCTAACTAGCATGGGACCAGATGAATAAAAAGATCAGAAAATGAAAAGAAAAGAAAGGGGCCAACTCTTGTTTTAGATGAGAAGATTAATTTTGCATATAAGTCAGAACTGATAAAACAAAATGCTAAATATCAAATGTGACATCACAATATGGTGATATAATAATGACCCATGTAATCAAAATTATCATGCAAGATTTAGATAGTTTATGCACTCATTTATCATTATAAACACTATGTAGAGTCCCTGCATGTGCCGTGATAGAAACAAAAGTAAATCCACATTACTGACTATTTTACATATTATTTTTCATTCAGTACTTAACTCTAGAAATGCTGTCTCTTCTGAAAAGTGAAACCTATACTTACCACATATTAAAATTTATACATTTATAATTGTACTATATATATAATATCTATATATAGTGACTATCAAGTTTAGTAGCATGGTTTCGATCAATCATGAGCACAGAACCAATGCTCCATGAAGGTTTGGGAACTCATGAAATCCACATTATCAGTGCTAACTGATTTGTCCAGTGAGAACTTTAAATTTATCTAAAGGATTTAAGTCTTAATAAGAATTTTAAAATCAAATTAGACCTGATTTTCAATATTTTATACATGTAAGAACTCATAGGACCCCCTCATTCCAATAGCAAAGATGGTTTTAATGGTGCTTGCTTATTTTCAGAATTCTTTTCACTTATGATTCTTTGTGAATAAATACACTGATGCATATTCAAAAGTGAGGGACCAGAAGTCACACCTGATGGGTGTTTTGTCCCTGAGCTGTATTAGTTATTAGTTTTATTTTTTATTTATTGTAATTTCTTAAGGCAATATTCCATATTTTCAAATTCTTCAACTTACATGAAAATCTTCAGAAATTACTGATGACAAATATGCCTCATTGGCTTAAATGTATTTGTTATAAAACAAATTTTTAAAAATTATCTAACATTAATGTTTCAGGTTACATATTTTAAGCTGATTGGAAGACTTTACAAAATTGAAAAAAAATCTATTTTTTCGGGAATGTTTGAGTCACAAAAATATTAATTTCAATATAGTAATTAGTAAATATTTAACCTAAACTGATTTCTTTTAAATATATAAGTTGAATTGTTAAGTGCTTATGATTTCTGAAAACTGGAAAAAAAGAGGTTTATATTTTCTACATTAAAGGGGGTAAAGCTCAACATATTTTGTTGATAAAAGTTCTAAAATTATAATAAGTAATGATACATAAATCAAATTACTTTATGGTACTAATGGTACCCAAGTTATAACCATTTTGGTAAAATATCTTACTTAATTGAATAATAGATAAACTTGTATTTAGGTCTGCTGTATATGGAACAAAACTTTGTCATACTTGTAAATTTTAAATTAAATTTCTCCCTCTTTAATAGTATTACATTATAGGAAATGTCTTCATATATTAGACTATGTTCAAGGGTCTTGAAATTCAAATTCAAATCCATATTATCCTCATAATTGAAAATTTTAAGGATGATTTTTTATCTCTTTAACTTCACATTTGTCAACATCATTGAAGAGCACCTACAGTATTATTTTGCTCTATGCATTCCTTTTGTGACTTAATCAACTTTATAAGAAGCTGATTCAATCAACCAGAAGTTTAAAAAGTTATTTCTGTTTCTAATTTGTTATTGAGAGGCAATTGAATTTTATTAACATATTCATTATCATTTTCCTCTGGTCCCTGTGTTTCTTCAATAATGTATTCTGATATCATATGAATTTAAAAGCAGATCTTTTCATATCCTCACTATCTGCCAAAAGTAGTAATGATCTAGTGCAGAATAATGAGTCAATTCTCTAAAAATGTGAAACTCAGAAGTTTTATGTGTCTTTCAAGTCTTGAAAGTAGAACTCTACTCAAATAATGTAATAGTAGAAATATACAAAACACAAATGTTGACCCACTTCCTAAAGATATACAATCCCATACTTAGCCAACAAATCAGGAGAGCTGAATGCAAAGGGGCTCAGCAACAGTTTAATTCTAAGACTTTGAACGAGGCAAAAGTGAACATGAAGTAGGATAAAAAGGGAGGTTAGGATAGAGAATAACAACACTGTATTTCAGACAAGAAAAAAAAAAGAGAGAAAATACTGCTGTCCAATGGCCTCATTTGCCCACCTCATTAGTCCTGAAATATAGATTCAAGACACAGGGATCCTGGATAACACACTAAGTCAGTTTCTAGGCCCATACAGGAGATCCTTCTGAATGGTGTTTAAAGCAAGTTTCACCTCACATCAGATAACTGGAGGATTGATGTGATATAATGGCAGAAGATGACAGAAGAATACCATCATCTCAGAAATATGAGAACTGCTCCACTTAGAGATTTACCAAAATGCATATTGTGATTACAACTCTGAAACCTTACAAAAAGAAAAAAAAAATATGAATGAGCCAGTAAAAATTAATTAGCAAACTTTTAGTGAGATTACAACTTGGGTAAGAAAAACCAAGCTGGCATCTCTCAATCAAAATTTTCCACCTGAAACGTTTTAGGCTTAGTAACTACCAAAGCACACGGGGGGGGGGGGGGTTGAGGGGAAGCGAGTGGAAATTGGGAGATGCTAGATGCCCCGTGGGGACTTACTGTACCTGTGTCCGCATCCTTCACCTGTTGCCTGGCTTGAGTTGGCCGGCTCCACTTTGAGCTCTTGCAGGACCAGCCCTTTATCGTGTGGTCCAGGAAAGTCCATGCCTGGCACCTCCTCTTCCTCTAGAGACTCCACGTAGAAGAGAGTCCTGGCTGGCTGTTGGGTGCCCTGCCCCGGTGCCCCTTGCTGCAGCCTTGTGGCCACTGGCAGCAGGGTGCCATTCAGTGGGTTAAAGGAAGAGGAGGAAGAGGGCGGTGAGGACGACGAAGAAGAGGAGGAAGAGGAAGTCTTCTTCCAGAAAGTGCTCACGCTGCCCTTCTCTTGGCTTTTGAGCAGGCGGCTCTGGCTGGGTCCCCAGTGCTCGAAGCTGCCGCTGCCGTCCTGTTGCAGGCAGCCGCCCCCCGCCGGGCCGCCAGGGGCTGGCGACGGGTGGCTGAAGAGTTTCCAGCGGAGTCGCAGGATGTGCTTCACATCGAAGTCTTTTCGCCCAGAGCCTGACATGCTTGACGCAAGAAGGCAAAGAGACCTCAGCTGGCGCGGAAGTAGACGGGCCAGCTGGTGGGGGAGGCCGGCGGAGCCCGGGGTCGGAGGAGGAGCACCGCGCCCTCTGCACCCCGGGAGCACACGCGGCGAGGCGGGCTGCGCGCCCTGCCAGGCAACCACCAGGGCGCGGACGGCAGAGCCGCGCGGCTCAGCTGCGGTCAGGTCCGGAAGGACCCGCGCGTGGGGAGCCCACCGGCTGAGAGCAGAGGCAGGAGCCGGACGCCGAGGGCAGAGATTCCTCGATCCGCGCGCGGGGGCCCCGTGGTTACGGCAGGGAGGGACGACCCTGGTGATGGAGGGGCGCGAAGACGGGAGGTCTGCGCGCTCCGAAGCTCGGGGGGCGGCGGCAGCAGGATACACCTCCCTGGGATGCACCCGTGACAGAGCCTCAGTCGGGAAGGTGTCGGCTCTCCTGTCCTTGCAGCTCAGAGTTCAGTGTCTGGAGGGCGCAGAGCGAGCGAGCCCCAAGTCAAGAAGAAGTGCACCCCCTAGTCTTCCCGGTGCACCTGCGCCCCTGTCCCTGGCCTCTCCGAGGATGCTCTGAGAGCCTGCCGGGTATCTTTGAGAAAGTCAGATGCCTTCTGCGAGGCGAGAAGGGGTGGTTTTACAGAGTCAGTTTGTAAAAGAGAAGAACAAATATTCCAGAAAATATAGGGAGGCAAAAGGAAAAGCCCGCCCGTGAAGCTGTCAAGGTCCTCACAGTACAATTTTCTCTCTGCCTCAGCGCCTCCTCCTCCCCTGCAAGTGACGCAGATGTGCACTGGGGCCTATACGGAGAGGTGGAGGGAGGGAGGGAAGGCTTCAATCTTCTTTATGCAAGTGAGTCTGCTGCTCTTATTGTCCCCTTGCTAGGTCCTGTCACCTTTTTTCATCCCCCTTCCTCACTACATTACTGTGTAGCAATAAAAGAAAAGCAAACAGGCATTATGCTTTAGCATCAGTAAACACCAAACATGAATCATGGCAGCGTAAACTTAATAGGCTGCCATCGGTTTGCAGGTTGCAGGTTAATGGCTTGAATTATTTAATAAACCGCATCCTTTAACCTTTAGCCTTAGTTTCTCTGTAGTGAGATACAGAAGAAACAGTGGTGCTGGCGTCAAAGTGTGATAATGCCACCATTCTGACACTTACATTGTGATTCTGCCATTAATACACTCAGGCAGCGCTTCACCCTGGGGGCTAGAGGCTCACACAGTAGAAATTTTAAGATGGGCATCTGAGCGCAGGGGACGACTTTTGCAAAATCAGTGCATTTGGTGTGTAGCCTTAGAATGAAAGCTGTTCTCGGGGTAAACCAAGCAGTGGAATAAAATGATAAAAGAGAATTTCAAGGCAAACCTTCCGGTGCATAAATTATGATATTGAATGCATAGAAGAGTTTAGGCAATGAACAAATATATCCCAAGGCTACTATCCTTCAAAAATCTGTTTGAAGAAGGGAAGATGTGTTTTCCTTTATACCTATATTTAGAATGAGGAGGATTATGATGCCTTTCTAGCTATGACTACTTGGACATTTTTCATCTTTTCCATTAATGAGCCATTAAAATAGAACCCAGTCACCTTTGCTGAAGGCAAAGGAGGTCAGAGAAGCAGCAAGGTCCCCAAGCCCACCAGAAATGTGGTTGTTGTCCATTCATGAAATTCACAGCTTCAGCAACCCCCCAAAGGCTCAGAAATCAAATATTAAAGTGCAGTTATATTACTGTTCTGTTACTCTGTTGTTGAGCAGTAAACTTAAATAGAAACCAAAGATAAATATGAAGTCCTTCCTAGACAAAGTTGGACATTTTAATAAAACAAGAAATTAAGCACACATTTTTTTCCCCACTTTTAGGGGAAGAAAAATCACTGTTGTGCATTTTAAATATTGATTTATGCCACAACAGCTGGAGTGCAATCCCCAGTGCCTTGATATTTCTTTCAGTATTCAGTGTTAAAAAAGAAAGAAAGAAAGAAAGAAAGAAAGAAAGAAAGAAAGAAAGAAAGAAAGAAAGAAAGAAAAAGAAAAAAAGCCCTTTAAAGCAAACAATGGTACAGATCATTTTTATCCAAGAACTGAATCAAGTATTTCCCTCAGGGAAGAAAACACTGTATGAAATTACACATCACAAACAGGACAGAGAAAACTTTCCATCAGAGGTAATGTAGAAATTTCAGATGCATATAATTAAATGATTTCTATAGAAATTGATGCTTCATAGATTTTCTAACTTGATATAATTTTTAATTTAATTAAAATAACAAAATAACAAAAATAATACCAATCTGTTATATGTATATATTCTTCATTAATTAACATCTGTAATCATTCAAAAACTGTAATATAAAATTCATTTTTGTTGGTATTCTGAAATTCCATTTTGTATTCCTCTTTTATTCTGTGATACTGCTATTAACTATTATACAGCTTAAAAGTTGTCTATTTAAAGGTCAGTAATTTATGTGATCCAAAAGAGATGCAATATTGAGTTTTATTATAAAGGAACATGAATTAAAATATTAAGGCATATTTAGCAAATGATGACTAATATAGTTAGTCTGGTAGTGATATTTAGTACATTTTCTTAGTCTTTGGTAGTCTTGTAGTAATATTTTGTGTGCTGAAAACACTGTTGCAAGCTTTTATTTAAAATAGCTACTTTTTTATACTTACCAATCTGTATACAATAATCACTCTTGTTGAGGAACATATTTAAACATAATTCATTTAAATTACCAAGTAAAATATATAGGATTTAGAAAATAGAGTATGCCTGAAATTATGTTAAAGTGAAATGATTGAAGATGATTGATTATATTCTTAAACTTTAGTATTTATTTACTAATTATTATTACTATACTGTTAGTGGGAAAGAAGAAGGGAAGGGGGAGGAAGGAAAAATGAAGTAATAAAGGAAGGAGAAAAGGAAAGGAAAAGACAGAGGAAGAAAGAAGGAAGGAAGGAAGGAAGGAAGGAAGGAAGGAAGGAAGGAAGGAAGGAAGAAGAAGAAAGAAAAGAAAGAAAGAAAGAAAGAAAGAAAGAAAGAAAGAAAGAAAGAAAAGAAAGAAAAGAATGAAGGAAGAAAAGAAAAAGGAGAGGGAAAGAAAAGAATCAATTTACTAAGACATCATGACTTAGCTTTTCATATTAGAAAAAATCCTTGAAAAATTATGCCTTTTGAAATACTGTACTCATTAATTTATTTACTCACTATTCAAAATTAAAAAAAAAAATTAACTGAGCACTTACTGTATACTGGGTCCAATGCCAAGTATTAGCATATATGGAAGAATTAGGTTCCTTGCAACTGGCTGGAAGAGCTAACAAAAAAGATTGTTTAGCCAGTCATAATTAATAATTGACTTGTACAGGGCACCTGGGTGGCTTAGTCGTTAAGTGTCTGCCTTCAGCTCAGGTCATGATCCCAGGGTCCTGGGATCGAGCCCCGCATCGGGCTCCCTGCTCTGCGGGAAGCCTGCTTCTCCCTCTCTCACTCCCCCTGCTTGTGTTCCCTCTCTCGCTGTGTCTCTCTCTGTCAAATAAGTAAATAAAATCTTAAAAAAAAATAATGGACTTGTAAGTCAAATTAAGATTTAAGATAACCAAGATTATAAGGAAGAGGACATTGACATAATAAAGATCACTTTTTAAATTTTATTATGTTATGTTAATCACCATACATTACATCATTAGTTTTTGATGTAGTGTTCCATGATTCATTGTTTGCGTATAACACCCAGTGCTCCACTCAGCATGTGCCCTCTTTAATACCCATCACCTTTTAAAAAGAATCTTAATAATCACATTACATTTTGTTTTAAAGACAAAATCAATTCAATTATTCTAATCCTATTTAATTAAGTTGAACTGTCATTTTAGTCAATCAGGATCTTTCAAATGAGTGTTCATATTATTGCCATAATACCCTGACACAACCTTAGCAAAAAAGATCAATCGGGATACTAAAAATCTGGAGGATGCTCAAGCATTTATAACTATACACAAGTACAACACTCTTTACATAATTATTAAATCCAACATGGATATTAAATATGCCACACTAGAAATTCCTATAACTCAAACATTTAAGCAATAAACAAAATTGGATTTAGACCCAAGCATTTTCTTGGTTGAGGACTTTTCCCTTAGTAATTGTCTTCTAAACAGAGTTAGATGTGTGCTTATCCAGGAAAAGTGAATTCTGATTCTTTTCCTTTTGACAGCCCTTCTAGAATGTCAAATAAGTTGCCTCCAAATAATAACATTCAACAAAAGCATTTAAATGATTAATTATGATCCAATTTGAATGATCATGCCTTATGATGGTGCCTGTATTTTTTGTTTTTGTTTATCTTTGTTTTATTTTAATGACACATATGTATGTACATTACTAGAAAATATCACTTAAAACAAGTGAATATTATTTAAAATGAGTGTACAACATTGTGGATGTGGAAATTAAATGAAGATCCTTTTGTAATGACATTTTCTTTCCAAAAATGAATGAAACACAGTAACATACAGCACTAATATCAAGTGATTTTATGTATACTATCAAGGACTCCCACTGTTTCTTAAAACAAATAAACATAACCTGTTCAAAATCTATTAATCTTCATTACAGTGTAAGTATAGTTTAGTTAAGTAGCAATTGAGTGACTGCTTAATAAACATCCTTTGTAGGTGTTAACTGATCCTCAGGGGTCATTTTAATCCACTCTACCTCTTTGGTTTATTTGACCTTTTGATTTGAATCAAGAAATAAATGCATATACTTGAGAAATTCTCATATGTAAATTGCTGAGTTAATTGCATGAATGTAGGAATGCAAAATGGCACTAAAATAATGCATTCATATTTAGTTAAGTACCTTTTTATCTCCTAAAGTCATATGCAGAATGTCCAAGGTGGTTTGGGAAAATTCATTATTTTGACTTTGGTACTAGGTCTTGTTTGGTTAATCACACTGCTCAGGGTAATA